CGGATAAGCCCACCTGTGTGACAGGAATTACTTTTTTTATAACTCGTGAAGTTTATTGTCGGCTAAGTTAATATATTTTATTATAAAAATCCTCTATAGAATTCTGATTGTGGAAGAGCTAACCATGTCAAGGGATAAAAGTAATCTCAAGGCTCGAAAATTCTGGCACGTTTACTGGCTTTTATGCGTGATTCGAAATTCGTCAGAACCATTAAAGATTATTTGGAGATCGTGAGATGCGGTCTGGTGTGACGAAGGTTTTAGAAAAACATTTTCTTTATCGTACCAACGTTTCGATCTTTACTTAGATCATCTTCAGGGCCGGGGACTTATAATCATTGTTTACATTTTACAAATACATGTACAATGTGAAAAAATGAATTTATACAATGCTCGAAATTTTAAACTTAATCTTTCTATTTGTACTCACTCAAAGTGTTTGTTTTCTGTGTAGATGTGTCATTATTGGGTGTCGTGTTGAGAGTGTCAGTGATTTATTTAATGACAATCAATGATCTACTACTTGTTAGGAGAACGATCTGGTCGATTGCACTAAACTAAGGAACTAAACTAGGAAGCAGGCTACATTGCATGGGGAAAAAAATATACATCGTAAATATGTAGTAATAAAATATATATTATCCATCATCATAATCACAATCATTGGCAAGATGGTAGTGGAATGGGAATCATTCTTAGCATTGCCAACCTAAATACCAATTCCCTGCTGAGTTTCCTATCAGTGTTAGCACCACCTTTACCACCTTCTTACCCGTATCGTTCAAAGCAATATCCAACATCCACAAAGACCTTGATTTTCTCAAAAACAGGTGTATCAAGAAGGAATGAGGTAAATTTTATTTTGAAAAATAGCCTTGCCCTGTACCATACCAACCAATACCAGAACTGTATATAGACAGCAGTCTGAAATCCAATACAAGATTTAAGAAACAACATGATAAAATAAGTCCATGAAAATTGCGAAAAATTGTACATATCTCTTTCGGTTGTCAAGAGTCATCTAACAGTATATAAGATATTAGTGCGTCAACTTTTGACGTACCCAGTTCGACTGCAGGAGTTCTTGGTCATCCAATATTCAGAGTATCAAATCATTCGAAGAAAACTTCCTCAGACAAGGTCTTTCCAATGTCATTAACTTTGATAACTCACTATCCACAATGACCTTTGAAATCTTCTAGGAGGAACTGATTCTCACTTCAGAAAGTTCCACAAGATCTCGAGACAACCAAATACTAGAGCTCAAACTTTCTCAACACGTTCTCATCTCAAGGTCATGCCACGACTCCTTAAACGCCGATGACCTCGAGATGTCCTCAACCCTTAACCCGCAATAATGACCGTACATGTAGTGACAAAAAAAACCATATAACTATATTTTTTGAATAGGTTTTTTGATATGTACAAAGGACAAACAAATTATTTAAAATAATGTTTTATAGATGTATTTTAGACAAAATGCAGTTGCTCTAGCAGTCTTTTATTTTGAAAATGTATTCGAAATTATTTTGATTTGTCTCTTAAAATATAACTTGTAAAGATTGTTTTTTATTTATTTTTATATTAAAACCATCAGCATGTTCAATAATTAGTAATAAGGGTACATAGACTTCATTTTACTCCAATTTATGATTTTATAAATACAAGAAGACATCAACTTTTTTTAAATAAGCGAAATAAATTTTCTTAGATGTTTTATTTATCAAAGTTTTTATTATTACTTAAATATAGATATCTGCTTAAAGATAGACCCAACATTCTTTGTGGTTTAATTGTGATCCATGTAATATTTTCTTTATGAATTGTTAAAAAAAAATTCCAGATTGGTTTGAACTGTTGTAATCATGATATTCTTGCTTAAATTAAGCAGTTTTCTCAAGGAAGAAACAACTAAACTCGACGAGCTTTCGTTGATTATATCAAAAGTTGTTTTCAAGTCTATTTAGCAGTTTCTTCTCATAGCACCTACCTGAAATTGAATTTGCCAATTTTCATCCAATCGACTGTGCACGATTCCTTAGGTGAAGAAAAATGTTTCAATAAAATGAAACCAAGTTTTGTTCTTCTCGTTTATTTTTCCCGTTTCATCTTTCACGTAATTTTATGTATTGTAATACGTGGTTGATTTTATTCGTGAAATCGTGTTTTCGCAAAAATTAATTTACATTGGAACATAAATCGAATAAAACAGATAACAATGAGGAAACTTCGAAGTACTCCATAAGCCGGGGAGTAGAAGGCCTCATATTTTCCCCTGGTGTCACCTCAGGTGCCATTTCCAATTTCATTGCGAGGTGGGGATATTGCGACGGCCACAAAACCACATTCTCATATTTTCCAATTTCCGCCTTTACCACCATTCGTTTTAGAAATGAGGCGAAACACACCCTGGAAGGCCCGCACCGTAAATAAAACGCATTTACTCTTAGTTCACAAATCGGATGGGTATCCACGGTGGGGTACGGGGCCGAAACAAACGCCGCTTAATGACTGAAAAGGTCCTCAGAAAAAAAAATATACAAAAGTTAATTAATTAAAAAAATCTAAAACACCGTGCTGAAAACTAATCTCAAGCACAGGACAAAACACATAAGAATTTTGCAATATGGTGTAACTGCAGCTTATATCATCTTTTTGAAAGACTCATGATTATTAATTTTAGGAAAATCATCTTCCCACTTAAAAATCAAAACGAGGGTATATGATAATAAAAATTTGTTGAAGTCGTGAGTAGTAGTCAAGAATGGTAGTTAAGAAAAATACGTTTTCCATTTCTTTGCCAGGGGACCGCGGTAGCCGAGTGGTTAGCATGAGAGACTCTCTCGCCGCGGTCGTGGGTTCGATTCCCACCGCCGCCTCTGGCCCTTTTTGCCCGATAACCCCCAATTTGAACACACAAGAATTCGTACCATGGCTAATATGCAAGATCATAAGGCCAATAATAATAATAATAATAATAATAAAAATTTCTTTGCTGACGTTTCGACCTTTATTCAATTCATCTTCAGTGCATAAAATGTTGTGCCATTCTTGTGGTGTCATATTAGTGTGAAAGTGATAATAAAAATATTCCCAAATACCTATAAATATTTTGTTTATCGTTGCACAAAATTATAATTGGAAAGATCATAATGGTCCACTAGGAGACGACGAAAGCTTTAAAATAGATGCAAAATAGTGAAATGGTTCTAAATAATGAACTATTCAAAGCGTCCCATTCACAAGACAAAATAAAAGCCTACAAAATCAAAAATAAAGTATTCCAAAGGAAACACACACCAAGGACTAATTTTTTTTACAAAAGATTAAAGGAAAAACACACCTCAAAAGAACACACACAGAGTACTAATGCGAAATGATGTATGTCAAAAAATTTAGCAGAACGTGTGAATATTATTCTAAGATGGTCGTATTGTCATAACCATGATCACACATTTAAGTTATAAATAGTGGCGAAAAATATAACAAAGAAAGGCAAGAAAAGTACCTAAAAAGTTTCAAACAATTTCATGTCTTGACATCAATTGTTTATAAACCAATGTTCAAAAACTCCATGCAACATTAAAAACCTCTTCTCAGGTGATCTATCTGGCTTATCAGATTTCTTTTAATAACTATGAAACATATTAATTTTCTTCCAAAAAGACCGAAATGGAAGGAGAAAACACCTGGAGCTATTCTATGGTAGATCGATCAGAGATGGGAAATTGTACGGAAGGGGGGCCAAAGCATTAGCAGAAATCAGGCATAATGAGGGATAGTGCTAAAAAGGGAAAGCCCTACGAATCGAAAAGAAGGAAAAAGCCATAGAATGATCTCTCTGTTTTGCTCTCTCTCTCTCTCTCTCTCTCTCTCTCTCTCTCTCTCTCACTCACTCACTCACTCTCACTAAGACGAATGTTTGGACTTTCTACGGAATTTGCAATTCTGGTGGTTCTAGGTTGGTTGACTCTCCTTTGATCCATTTGACCAAAGGCATTTATTAGCGCGAAAAGTGGAGTATTTTTGGGTGTACCAAAATAGAATTGAATATTTAGTTTTGTATATTGTAGTTGTATATATATATATAGGAGTCATTAGGGTAATGTCAAAAACTCTAGTGACTACGCAATCACGGAAATGTGTTTATTTGCGTGAATGTTTAAGCGTTGGAGGACAAGGTTTGTGGAATATCGATTATACGAGTAGAGTACTGTCTGTAATCGAAACAGTTGCGTAAATTTACGATAGTGAATGCGTGAGTTTTACTCGATGTGAATGTATTTATTGGCGTGAATGAAGAGAAAGCTGACACTATCGCTTGACAGATGAAAAATGAAAAAAAGACGGAAAAATTCGAAAGGATGTAGGTTGAAATGAGGAGGGTGTCCGGGTGAATAGAAATCACGCTATCTCAAGTGGCAAGAGCCGCGGCTTATTTAGCCGAAGATCGTGGGTTCGAATCCCGTTCGTGACAGTTGCTTTTTCATCTCAACCAAGAACTTAGATTAAAAGTACAATTAATTAAAATTCTAATTATCTTCTCAAATTTTTCGTTCAATTTATAGTAAAATAAGATGTAAACCTGTTCCTAGACTCGGCCTTTCTTTCTATAATGAATTGTACAGAAGTTTTTCTGTTGTAAGGAATATATTCTTTTTCAAGAAATATTAAAAAACGCCACCTCTGAAGACGACGAGACGCCAAAATCCGTCTCACAAAATGATTCATACCGATCAACGACCGTTCTATTAATATAAATTGATTGTTCTTCCGCGAACTGAAGAAAATATGAGAAGTCGAAATTTTGTGGGCCTCCTCCACGTTTTGAGTAGCATGTTAAAGAGAAAATATTAATTTTTCAATTTTTATTTCAAACTTCGTTCACACATCTATTTTAATTAACAAATAAATTATAAGCCAACTAATATGTTATTATGTAATGTTAAAGAAAACTATGTGTACCGGTATTAATATTTTCTTTTGGTTATTCACAGGTGCGATGTGCTGGAGTCAGGGTCTGACGTACGACGAGGTCCCCCGGCGAGGGCCTTCCTTTTTAATGGAACCACCGCCCAGACTCGAGTTTTCAAACAGTTCCGGAGGCCGACTGGACTGCACTGCCACAGGCAGCCCACAGCCGACCATTTCGTGGCAGGCTTTGGACGGTTCGCCTTTGGGCGAGCTGCCGGGCGTTCGCCGCCTTCTGCCCAACGGCACACTCCTCCTCGTTCCGTTCCCTCCGGAACTCTACCGGCAGGACGTTCACGCCGGCATCTACCGCTGCACAGCGACAAATTCGGTCGGTACCATCATCAGCAGAGACGTCCACCTACGTGCAGGTAAATAAATTGATTTACATAAAAAAATCTAAAATAACTGAAAACCGATACAAAACAAATTATATATTTCTTCATAGTCTTTATTAAATGATTACGTCTATAATAAGTCACCAAACATTGTTATCTCGTTAAAGGTAGTTTCAAATGCACAATGTGGTTTGATAACATTCTGTAAACAATTCATACATTAGAAGGTTTTAAAGAAAAACTCATACAAATTTGGGAAGGAAGATAGTTGGAATAAACAGAAGTGTCATTCGTACAAAACTTATCCACAGTCTTGTCACTGTGACCTTTTCAATACTTGACTAATTTCCGTCGAGAAGTAAACAAAGTCTTTTGACTCCTAACACAGTTTGCCACATTCCTTTGATAAAAATAGTAAATCCGATGAGTGTACAGGTAGGAAAACGGAAAGAGAGATAGAACAGAAAGAGGGAAAAAGTGTGAGAGAAATAAAAAACGAGAACGTAACGTACGACAGACGAATATATCATTCATAACATTTAAATACAAAAATATATAAATGTCCCTAGGTCCCGCAGTTAGTGACAAAGAAGAAGAAAGAGGATGGTGAAAAAAAATAGGGAAGAGTGTTAAACATAAGAAATCAGAAATAATAACACTGATCACGGTATGGTCTTGTAGAAAAAGCAAATTCAGTTGTTACTGCAATAAAAGTAACTGGCAGTAACATTTAAATTAGCTTTTTTTTATCAATTCTAAATTATTCATGCGTAGAAAAGTGGTCAATTAATGTAATATTTACAAAAGAAAATACGTATACAGATATGTACATATACATAGATGCAATAGATTAATCGCCGCCTCTTCCTTCAACATTAGCCCTTAATCAGATATTTCTCTATAGTATCTATGCTCTCATTTTTCTTTTGTATTGAGACATGATTTTCATTTTTTTATGTAAATACGTAATATAATTATTTTATTGTTTGCATTGTTGTATTTAAATAGAAATAAAAATTTCAGTTAATTAAAGTTTTTAGTTGAGATAAAAAAGACAATGGCACGAGCGGGATTCGAACCCACGATCTTCGGCTAGATACGCCGCTGCTCTACCATTTGAGCTATCGTGACCTCGATCCACTCGGACACTAACTTCCCATCTCAACCTCACCTTTTGAATTTTCCCTCCTTTTTGCCATTTTTCGAATCCCGCTCGTGCCATTGACTTTTTTATCTCAACTAAAAACCTTAATTAATTGTAATATATTAATTGGTCAAGCGGACCACGAAATTAGTGAATTTAAGAAATAAAAATGTTAGAAAACCTTAACAATATACGCCTGTTATCTGGTATAAGTGAACTATATTTTTTACTTCACTAGTTTTAGTGGCCCGCTTGACCAATAAATATATTTTAATTAATTAAGATTTTTAGTTGAGTTAAAAAAATTTCAGTACAATTGCTTTCGATTAGGCATCACGTAACCATAAAACAGAAAGTATGTATACAATTTAAAACCATTTGAAAAATGGCTAAAAGGAGGGACAATTAAAAAAAGGTAGGGTTGAGGTGGGAAGTTGGTGTCCGAGTAAATCGAAGTCACGATAGCTCAGGTGGTAGAGCAGCGACGTATCTAGCCGAAGGACGTGGGTTCGAATCCCGCTTGACCCTGACATTTTTATCTCAACCAAAACCTTACATAAAAAGAATAATTAATTAAAGATAAATGGAGTAATATATATATTTTAGTCGGGTTAGAATTTTGATGTTTTCCTCGATCTTTTCAGGGCCACTTATTGTTTGTTTTTTATACAAACAGATTTGTCAAATCAAACAAATAATTTTTCTATTATTGAAATATTTTTAACACATTGTTACCCAAAAAACATTTTTGTTATTTTCAAATTTTTCTTTTTTTTGACAAAGTAATGCTGGGAAATTTAACTAAAATATCCTATCAATTAATGACAGAATACAAGATAGGAGAAAACTCAGTCTTCAATTTATAAATGAACTCACAGAAGGACAACTTCAGGTTTTCAGCTCTATGCAAATAAATTCATGACAATTCCCATTCTTAAGTAGGGTCTATTAGGTGTTCGAACCACTGAGACGAATAAGCGTCGCTACGATGAGAAAGAAAAGGGACATAATTAAATTCCAATCCTAGCTCTAATTGGAGGGAACCCTTAAATAAAACAGAACTCAATTTCGTTCCCCGGTCGTGAAAATGGAGAAAAAAAGACTAATAAGGGTGTTTCCATTTGAGCCCTTTTTTCTTATTATCATTGAGGTCTTGGCTGGTTTTATTGTTCGTCCTTAGAGGAAAGTCGCTGGTAAAATATTTTTAGAGAAAAACTCGGACGACGGTTAAAGATTAGTAAAACATAAAAGCCTATTATTTTAGGCCATATTTTATTTCAGGTATTTTTATGTCATTGTCCCTTGGGGAGGATGTTTACCATCAGGGCGTATTCTCCTTTCATGACTTCATACATGGTTGCCATGACAATGTTTTATGCTGAACTATAACACAAAATATGGTTACGACTGGCGAAAAAGGGAAAAACTCCAACCCTTTCATCGATAAGCTTGAGGGACTTTTGAATCATGAATTTAAGAATCGAACGAAATGATTTGAAGCTCATCTTCCGTTTATCCACAATTAAAAATATACAGAGAATATAAGTTTAAGATTATATTTATGAAATCAGTCAATTAATTATTTCAATGGTCTGAATGAAAATTTGACTTAATAGGTTTTAGCTTTTGCTTGTCTTAATTAATATTTATTAGTTAGTTCAATTTAAAAAAGTTCAGGATAGAAAGATTTATACCTTTACTTACGGTTTTATGATATACAAAATTTTCAAGTTGGTCTTAATTTATTAGAGTGTGTAGTGCAGAAAAAACCGTTTTTACCACTTTTAAAAGTAAAAACGCAAAACAATATATTAATAAATTCATTATAACACGTGGTCCGATTGACCAAATAACTTCTTTCAATTAATTAATCTTTATGTAAGGTATTGGTTGAAATGAAAAAGCTAGTCCTTTTTACTCCTTTTTAAAAAGATAGTTCATAGTAAGTTGTTTTGCAACGACCGGATTTCGAGCCCTTAGCTCATCATCAGATGGAAAGATTTCTACAGCCACGTCTCTCGAAATGAATTGATTGAAAAAAGGATTGAACACCAGTCACTGCATCATTCATCATTTCTATGAAAAAGATAATGTCGCTAGCGGGATTCGAACTCACTACCTTCGGCTAAACACGCTGCTGCTCTACCACTTGAGCTATCGCGACTTCAATCCACTCGGACACCAACACTTCAACCCACATTTCGAATCGAGAGCGAGAATGACGAAAAAGAAAGTAGAGTAATGTAAGAAAGCGATCCTAAAGAAGAGAATAATATAAAAGGAAAAATATGAAACAAAAAAAAAGTTCGTAGGGAAAAAGAGATTTGAATTTTGAAAAATGTCAAAAAGGAGGGAAAATTGAAAAGGTGGGGTTGAGATGGGAAGTTAGTGTCCGAGTGGATCGAGGTAACGATAGTTCAAGTGGTAGAGTAGCGGTGTTTCTAGCCGAAGGTCGTGGGTTGGAATCCCGCTCGTGACACTGACTTTTTTATCTCAACAAAAAATTTAATTAATAAAATTATAATTAACGTAAATTATAATTTTTAATGGTGGATTAACAATATAGGTTTTATTTTAATAATTTATTCTTAACTTATTTTTACTTCTTCAATATTTAACTGGGTTCACCATCGTCATAGTTGATAAGGTCAAAATTATTACAACAAATTTTTTTGTTTTACTTTCAAATGATAGTTTGATTATTAAAGTTTCGGAAAATCTATATATGTGTTATTTTTTTATTTTGAATGTTTTTCAAGTTCGTTCATAAGAAAGATTTTGTAAGCAGTTTATTTTCACACGGAACGGATGAATATTGTATCCCCTGAAATGTAACAATTTTTTGTTTTTAAGAAGCAAAGTTTATTTTTTTACTTGTAATTTTCATATTTGAACAAAAATCCACAGAATTTGCACAGTACATAACTCTTTTTTGACAGGAAAGTGTCAATTCGCCTATTGTAAATCAATGTATTATGTATACGTGGATAGCAAAGGTTTCCAGCGTGCCGTGTCAGGCGTAATGAACAGCAATCAAAGGCAACTGGCCGTGTTTCCAATTAAAACGGATGATTACCCCTCCATGACGACTGATTACGTGCTATGATCGATAACAATTTTAAATTACAGACGAGATATCATACGTGTTATGTCACAAAGTACATACTGCCACCTGTCAATGCTTTTTCAAAAATATAAGCAAGTTATCTGAATTTTACAATATTTTTCAATATTTAGTAATATTTATATTAAGTATTGGTTCAAATGAAAATGCTAGTGTCACGAGCGGGATTCGAACCCACGACTTTTGGCTAAATATGCCGCTGTTCTACCACATGAGCTAATGTGATTTCGATACACACGGACACCAACTTCCCACTTGAACCCTCCTTTCGAATTTTCCTTGCTTTTTGCCATTTTTTATGGAGGGAAAATTCGAAATGTGGGTTGAAGTGTTGGTGTCCGAGTGGATTGAAGTATCCGCATATAACGATTTCTGAATAATTAACGATTAACAGTCACTAATCAACACACATTGCAACCAATACCTTACATAAAGTTTAATTATTTGAAAGAAGTTAATTGGTAAATCGGATCGCGAGATATGATGAATTTATTATTATATTGTTTTGCGTTTTTACTTTTAAAAGTGGTAAAAATGATTTGTTCTGCATATACATATAACTGTACTCACTCTAATAAATTAATACTAACTGGAAAACTTTGTGTACTATAAAACGATAAGTAGAGGTATAAACCTTTCTATACTGAACTTTTTTAAATTGAACTAATAAATACATATAAATTAAGATAAAATATAAATATTTAAAAGGATTGAACGCCGCACTCACTCCACCATTCATCATATCTGTGAACCAGGAGTCTTTTC